GCCACAGTTTCAGAGCTGGGGTGCCTGAGACTTTTACAAAAACTATTCAGGAGGCCTTGGCTTCCTTGGGCAAGGCTCTTCTTTGAGAAGCTTCTTAGTCATTGTCCCTGCCAAAATAAATATGACCTCACAGACCACTCACTGTAGATCCAGACCTTGTCCCAGACAATAACTCCTTTCTAGGAACTCACTTTTAAAGTCTGAATTTCTTGGCATACAAAAAGAGGGTTCTGAATAAAAATTTCTTTGTTTTTAAAAGATAACTCATGGACATTTGTAGTCTATGGTTACCCTTCATTCTTGGGAAAATCCTGCAACCTAGAGTAAGTTCTTTGGCTGACACATAAGAACATATTTTATGTGGACACTAATAATCATACCGCTGATGAATATGGAATCTTAATTTGGCTCTGACTGCGTTATTCTGTTGGAGAGAACACTAAGGCCCAGAGGGCCTAGGAGTCTCTCAGCCAGTAGGGGACACCAGGGAAAGGGTGAGCCTGTCCCCTCTGTTTCTGGCATCTCTGAGTACCATGGACCCAGATTTCATTTCACTCCCCAGTCCCTGTCCTTGGTGCTTCATGTCTTACAAAGTGACAGAAATTACCCTGAGACTGCCTGGCTAACTTGATGCCACCTAAATCTGAGCTTCAGTTTCCCCTGGTTTCCCAAGAACAGGCAGTACAGAGGGGAAGGCAGGCGGCCTGTGCCAGGTAGCGGAGAATAGGTGCAGTTAAGTGGTTTTATCTTTTTTTTTTCTGATACTTACATGTTCCTTCCTGACTTTACACACAAATACTGTAGACTCTGCATAGGGTGCCCCTCATCTTTAGTATTTGATCAGAGGTGGACACATTGTTTTGTTTCTCCTACGCAATGCTGGGTGTGACTGAAGCTCTAGCTCTGTCTACAAATGTGTTGAGGTTCTGGACCTGTGATGATCAGATGATCCCTCAGGAAACCTGCACCCGGAAGGTGAAAGTTCTGAGTCTAGGCAGAGGAAGGTTAAGACCACACAATTTCCTCTTTTTGATAGAGGCTGAAATACGAAATTGCAGAAGTGATGACAGAGATCGATAACCTGACTTCAGTGGAGGAGAGGTAAAATGTTTATGGCTGTGCCTTTCTTTAATCTCTGCTCTGTGTCTTTATCCTCTACCTGAATTTGCCAACTGGTGAGCGTAGTGGGTAAGAAGGCTGACATGGGAAGTGGGGGCCTTTGGAGTTGTTTGTTCTTTCCTGCCCTGCCTCCCTCCTGTTCTCTCTGAAGGCGGAGGTTTCTTAGCGAACAGCACAGCTATAGCTAGTGTAGGAATTTGTTTATCAGATAAGTTCTACCCACTGTGAAACTGTCTATTGCTTCTTAACTCAACCCCAGAATGGCATGAAGTTGTCAGTGGGAATGTCTTTGTGGATTTGATATTTAGGGTAAGTATCAGGTTTTTGTTTTTCTTCTTTAGGAGTTGAGTTTATTGAGTTAAATTATCAGCAGATTTTATAAGCTTTGGAAATAATGGAGGATGCTTTACAAAATTGAATGTTTTTAGAACTGAAACTCATTAACGATGAGTAGCATACCAGTAAGCTCGCAGATAAACTCAAATCTCATGAAATGCACAGCACAGTAAACACTAATTTTTTTGAAGTGATGCTACCACTGTACCACAGTTCTTGGGTGCAAACTCACCTCATGCTTAGGATGTCCTTGCTGTTGGTTCTTGGTTGTCATCTTACTTTATATGCATCATGTGTCAAAAGTACAACAAAAAGGGCCAACATTGAGAATTTCATGTTAGTCAGGAAGCACAGAGAGAAGCACTTTGATTAATATACTCAGTCCTTACAACAGCTTATGAGGTAGAAAGTTCCATTTTAATTCCTGTCTCACTGTTGGGCTGGATGAGGCTCACGGCAGCTGAGGACCTGCTGTCCTGAAGAGGAACGTGACTGCAAGACGCAGGCCTGCAGCCATGGCTGCTTGCTGAGCTGGCTGGAGCCTGGGGTTTGGTTCATAGGAAGCTGAACTCTTCTGGCCTAGTCATCCCATGGCATGTGCTTGTCATGTCCACAGAAGTAGGAATTTAATGACACTGTCGTGAATGTCTTAGTAGACCTTGTTTTGTGTCCCACTTCACCTAAAAGACACATTTTTTAACTTAATTTTTATTAGTACATGTTTGCAACCACTAATGAATATTGTGTTTTCCTTGTGTGGAGTTGGTGCGTGTATGCGGCACAGACTAATTCCTTTTTTCATCTCCTCTTCCTTCCATCTCTTGATTCCCACCCCATTTGAGAAAGATTTATCTCCCTGATTACTATTTGCCTTTTTATTTTGCTATTTTATAATTTAGGTTACTCGTATGGGAGACACCAATCAATGTTTAAAGCTTTGTGTCTCATTTATTTCACATAAGATTATGGTCTCAAGGTATATTCATTTTTCTAGAAATGGCTCATTCATCTTAGCCCATAGTAGAATAGTACTCCAGTGTATGTAAATACCACATTTTCTTTATCCATTCATCTGCTGATAGACATATAGGCTGCTTCCATCTGATTCTTCTCAATGGCTGATCTGTAACTATGCTACCTAATAAAAGCAGAAGGTATATTTATTCTGCCTTTGAACTTTTGCTGGGAAAATTATCAAAATTATTTGGTTTATAGTCTTGGTTTCGACACTTGCCCTAGTCAGCTGGCTGCCGTGACAAAATACTGTTGACTGGGGGCTTAAACAACAGACACCTATTTTCCCATTGATCTGGGTACTGCCTGTCTGACACTGGAGTGCCAGCATAGCCAGGTTCTGGTGCATGCCCCCTCTCCATTTGCAGGCTGTTGCCTTCTTGCTGAATGCTTACATGGCCAGGGTGGAGCATGTTCACTCCAGGGTCTCTCTTCCTAAAATGGCACAAATTTTAAACTTGAGGACTCTGCTCAAATGACTTATCCTAACCTTAACTACTCCTAGGGGCCCTATATGTTCATATTGTCACTTTGTGGCTTTGGGCTTCAATATATACATTTTGCAGGGGACACAAATATTTAGTCTGTAGCTATACCAGATAATTTCATGTGCTGCAGATGCATTCAAAATTGTATCTACCCCCTATCCTTACTAAGCTGTGTAATAGTGTGAATCATAAAGATATCCTCAAAGTAAATTCTTTTAGGCTACCAGGGAGGTGATAACATTTTAAGCAAGGAGATTTGGTTTGTTCAGGTAACTTAGATTCTAGAAGTAGCACTTGGGCTTATAAATAAAAAGCAAGGTTTGGTTAAATTAAGGAAGCTAAAAACATTCTACTACTCTTTAGAGTCCCAGTGTCCTAAAATGCCTTTCAAAGAAAATTTCTTGTTTGTAACAAGGAGTTTAGTGGAGCAGAAACTGAGGACTCTGCAAGGAAGAAGATACATGAGGTCAGGTGAGGAAGGACTGATGCCCAGGTCACATAGGAAGGAGCTGCTATGGGAAGGGAGAGCAGCGTTCGGGGTTCAGGAAGTCAGAGGAGGCAGATGCAGAGAATGGGGCAACAGTGGAGACTGCGAGACTCTTCACGCTGTGCTGACCTGTACCAGAGAGCACTGTGGGCCCTAGGTGGGGGAAGGAAGCCAGAGAAAACCCTTGGTCCATGGAGACAGGCAGTATCCGGGTGGTGGCAGTACAGAGGAGGAGAAATACCCACTTCCAGAGGTCAGCAGTGGGCATGACTCCCACCATCTATGTGCTGCGCCACCAGCTTGTGAGAGGAGGCTGCATTAGAAACTAAGAGCAGACGACATCCAGGAGATGCCAGTGACATAGAGAAATAGACTCTCAGCCAATCACTGCCGAACACTTGAGGACAGCACCATCTGACAAGACATAAGACTGGACAAATAGAAGCAAAACAGGAGGAAACAGGCCTGCTAGAAACAGTGGAAAGAAACACTAAAAGTGGGATATAGTTACACATGTTATAAATATCATCAAAGAGATTGGCAGGATGGGCCTACCCATGATACCAAGGTGGGGCATTGTGAGAATGTTGGAAATAAATAGGGATGGCACGTGAACTCTGGGCCGTGCCCCAGAGAGGATGCTGCTTCAGCATGGGTTCGAGGCCTGGAAGAGAGTATAATAATTCTCTGCTGTTTTACACAGAATTACAAGGCATGGAAGATAAATCTGGCAAACCAGATTTCATCCAATTGAAGTCTCAAAGGAAACAATTTAAAATGGAACACAGGAAATTTTTTTTGTCTTTTTGAGACAAGATCTGTTTATGCAGTTCAGGCTGGCCCTGAGCTCTCTTTGTAGCCCAGGCTGGTCTCAAACTTGCAAAGATCCTCTTGCCTCAGCCTTTTGAGTGCTGAGATTACAGGCGTGTGCCACTACGCGCAGTTTAGGAAATATTTTAAAGAAAACATCCATTATTTTAGAATGAGACTAAGATAAAATTCTCAGATTCACAGTGCTCATCAAATGTGAAGCAGTATAAATTTTTGAAGGACCTATCTACACCTATAGATAGATGTACTGAATAAAATATCACAAAACTTGTAGTAAAGAGGAAGTCATTAAATTTTCCAAGAAGAAAAGACTAGGCTGCCTAAGAAGAAACGAGCTCATTATCAGGAAGCAGTAGATCAAAGAGAAAAGCGAAACAGTTCCTGAGGTTGAGAAAAACATGACAAAGCTGAGAATTCTGTCTACCAAACAGTTGCTCAGAAAAAAGGCAAGTAAAGACATTTTCAGACATGCAAGGACTCAGTCAGTCACCAAGGCATTTCCCCTGAGTCTAGTAATTGTGAAGTTGGAGGATTACACCTCCAAACAAACACACAAAATGAATCCACAGGATAAAAAAAAAAAGACAAGCAATATTTATAGTTGAGCCAGGTGTGGAGGCTGAAGCCTACATGTAATCCTAGCTCTTGAAGATTGAAGCAGGATTCCCAGTCTGAGTCTTCCCTAGGCAACTTGGTGAAATCATATCAAAATTATTATTTTTCAGAAGAGCAGTGTGAGTCATGGACTGGGAGAAGAACCAAGAAGCCAACCCCCTCCTGTGAGCCAATGACAGAAAGAAAGAAAGAAAGAAAGAAAGAAAGAAAGAAAGAAAGAAAGAACGAAAGGAAGAAAGGAAAGAAAAGAAAAGAAAGAAAAGACATCTTTATTATGGGCACTGGAGGGCTGCCAACGAGAGGCAAAGAGAAGGTTAAGAAAAAAAACTCAATGACTTTGTAATTTGACAGGGGCGGAGTTAAAGGGGTGGGATGAATGACGTATTGACACTTAAAGGGGCGGGGTGAATGACGTATTGACAGCTGATTGGAGGAATGTTGGCGGGCACGCAAAAGCTGGAGATTTAACTTTTGAGTTCAAGAAAAGAACACAGGGAGGCTGTCCAGTGCAAAGGCAGGCGCTGTCCAGCGTCTTGTTAACCCACATATGAGAGAAACCTGTGAGAAGGGCCATCTAAGGACAGCAGCATCTGCTCTCCTGGGCCAAGTCCCTGAGGCAAGAGCATGCCTGACCCAGGGAAGCAGCAGCCGCTGACAGTGGCCTGAGGTGAGGCTGGGCCCTGGATGCATCCTGCTGAGTCTGTCCTTGCGCCCTGGGTGTGGTCTTGAGAGGACGATGTGACCTCGTGCACTGTCAGGACTGTGGCAGCCATGGGATGTCATAGGGCTCTAGAAATCATCAGGTCGAATGTAGGAGACCATGCCAGTGGGGACAAGATGTCTTGGGACCCTGGCCAGGCCTATGGCAGGGGCAGCAGACCTTGCTGAAGAGTTAGTTATAGTCGCACAAAAGAGGAGCAATTGATAAATCTGTCCCCGGATTATTGAGTGGAAGGAAACCGAGTCTCTGTTGGTTCTGAGGCCCCCATTCCCCTACCGGGTGGCACCCAGGCTGAGGGGGTTGCATCCTCACTGTGGCCTGGTCACTTGATGAGAGGTGTGTCTCTCCACAGGCAGTTCCTATGGAGCATTAGGCTGCCCAGAGAGGCTCGGAAGATTAATCACATGATGGAGGCCTTCACTTTCGCTATTGCCTGTGCAACCCAGGCGTCTTCCAGTCCACAGGTGAGCCAGCTCACAGTCTGACCTCAGCTCTGCTTCAGGACAAAGGCCTGCAGTACAGAGCACCCTATTCCTGGGACCTTCTTTGCCTGCGCCAGCAGTCTTACCTGAGGTGCAGGGAGCCACTCTCAAAGGTTTCTGCTTTGCTCTTCCCTGTGGCCCTCATACTCCATGTCCAAACCTCAGTAGAGCTCAGGCTACCGAGCCCCCCGCTGTCCTCTGCCTTGTTGCAGACATGTGCTATGTGCTGTCATTTGCCATCATCATGCTGAACACCAGCCTGCACAACCACAACGTACGCGACAAGCCCACTGTGGAGAGGTTCATCACCATGAACCGTAGCATCGGTGACCTCCCTGAGGGGCGGCTAAAGCTGAGTCTGTGAGACTGAGCTTCGGAGCCTCCTCATGGTGGTGCTGTTCCTCTTCCTTCTTAACTGGACATTTTGAAACTTCCAAGTGCTCTGCAGATGGACAGTGATGGTTCATTCACTTTTTTTTTCTTTGCAGTACTGGGAATCAATTCAGGGGCATTCTCCCACTCAGCCACCTCCCTAGCTGTTTTTATGATTATTATTTTTTAACCTTGAGACAGGGTCCCTTGGTTGGACTCCTGTCTCTGCCTCCCAGAGTTCAGTGAATACAGGCCTGGGCCACCAGGCCCGGCTGGCTTATTTACTGTAAGTGCATCTCTTAAGTGTGTCTGGCTTACAAGTCCTGCTGCTCTTTATGCTTAGTCTGTATTGGAAAAGACAACAGAGAGAACAATTACTTCAACTCTGGGAATTTTTAAAATTTGGTGCTATTTTTCCCTTACAGAATTTATAAGAAAGTATTAAGAATGAACCCTTTAAGATCCCAGACGATGGTGGGAATGATCTGATATACATGTTCTTTAATTTTATGGGGAAGGCTGGATCCTGAAGCTGGGTGAGCCTGCTGTGTGTGCCCTGTCCACGGACCCCTAGCCCACCTGGCAGCTCCCTGGTCTCCCTCCCATTCCTCATAGCAGAGGCCCCTAAGCACAAGGCAGAAACATAAAAAAGAGTGCAGTTGAACCAAAGCCCACTGTAAGCAGCCACATATCCCAGCACCAATGGCTGCTTCCCTGAACAGTGGCCTCTCCAAGCAGGCTATGGGTTCCATGTCCATGGCAGGGACTTCCCAACCCATCCCAGAAAGCTGCTGAGTTGGCTTTCACCTAAATGCAGGGCAGTTTTCTCTGCAAGAAGCAAGTGCATTTACCTACAGAGAACCTGTGTGCCTTTCTCTTGGTTTGGCATGGCTGTGATTTATGATGAGTAGTTTAAATGTGCCTTCTGGGGGACGGAGCAAAGATGGTGGATAGATAACAGCTGGCTACAGAAGTTCCCTCAGATAGTCAACTTAGAATTCAGCATAGTACAGTGTGGGAAGCCCGAACAGAGGGAGATGAATTCTCTCATCCCAAGAAGAAACTAAAGTGAGAAGAACCAATCAAACATACAGTCCCGGTGCTATTATTGGAACAGCTAAAGGGTCAGTGCTCCTGCTGCTATAGCAACTTGTGGAGCTGTCCGAGGTCCCACTGCTTCGACTCACTGGAGGCAGGCGCAGACACGCTGAGGTCGGGGGTCAGCCAGCTGAATGGAGAGCTGAGCCTGCGAGGAGCCTGCAGCGACCTGTGGTGGGTGATGGGAGTGGAGCCATTCCACAGAAAGGGAGGCTTCGGTGGACAACATTCTGGGATCGGGCAGGACTGGCAAGTACAAGGGGCAACTGTGACTTCAGTCAGTTGTTCCCTTCCCGAACGGGATTGGTGGAGTGCACAAGGCCTGGGTCACGTGACCTGGCTGAGACCCAATAGGTTACCTGAAATCAATTCCCTATGGCGGCGGTGCACACCAACCATCCTAACACAGTGAAGCCTCAGAAGTTTGACTGACCCGGAGGTGAGTTGGCACATAGTAATACAGTGCAGGCCTCAGCAGCTTGACCGATCCAGAGGGGAGAGGCCAGTTCAAGCTGCCCCTGTTTGCAACTCACTAGCAAACTGCAGTGGGAAGAGACACCTAGCCAGCGTGCTTCAGAAGAATTGTAACCAACAAAGAACTAAACTGGGGCCTCCTGGAAGAAACAAAAAAGATGGGAAGAGGAAGCAACAACAAAAAGTCCCTAGGTCCCAACCCTGAGAACATTGACCCAGGACAGGTAAATACAAAGGAGAATGAGAACAGTAAACAAGCAATATCAGACACCAGTGGACATAAAGAGATATCTTTGGGATCTCATAGACAAGTTCAAAAGTGAAATAGTTAGCCAAGTAAAGCAAGATATAATAAGATTAATAAAACAGATGCTAAGCACCCCTCAAGCAGACACAGACAAAAGAAGGGAGGAACTCAAAGGAGAGAACCATTTGATGAAGAATATAAAAAAATATAGAATACATGAGGCAGATTCAAAGAGATCACCAGGAAATTAAAAACTCTATGGAAAGATGGCAAATCAGCTTGAAAGAAACTAAGGATAGATTATCCAAACTGGAGGACAGTTTTGCAATGTGGGATTATGAAAGGGAAAACTTTTTAAAAATAACAAGGAAACAAGCAGTAATAATACAAAGGCTAGAAGATGACAAGAGGATCTACAACATGAGAATAAAGAATGTGAATGAAGAAGCAGGGGTACAAACAAAGGAACTACAAAGGCTATTCACAGAAATAACTAAGGAAAACTTCCCAAACATAGGAAAAGGAAATGATATTCTGATGTATGAGGCATACAGAACTCCAGCCACCTACAACCAAAACAGAGCTACAGCCAGGCATATAATAATCAAGATCCCAGAAATTCAATATAAGAACAGAATATTAAAAGCTGTTTGAGACAAGAAACAGATAACCAAAAAGGAAGGCCCATCAGAATAACAGTAGACTTCTCGACACAAATCATCAAGTCAAGAAGAGCCTGGAGCGAAATATTCCAAGCCCTGAAAGAAAATAACCTCCAACCCAGATTAATATACTTGGATAAACTGTCTCTAGAAATTAATGGAGAAACAAGATGCTTCCAAAACAAAGAGGAACTTGGGAAATTCACAACCACCAATCCAACTCTACAGAAAATACTGCAGGGCATTCTAGAGAGAGAGAGAAAAGTACTAGGATTCCAGGAAAAGTGGCAGAGAAGCCATAATGAATGGAACAGAAAACAGAATGAAGAAGAAAAGCAGACAACTGATGGCAAAAAAAGAGCATAACAGAAATGACACAGAGAAGGTTGGTTATAATCTCTAATATAGATGGCCTTGATACACTAAATTAAAAAAACACACGTGGAGTAGATCAGGAGGCAGGGTCCACCGAGATACTATTTATAGGAAATTAACATGAAAAAGAGTATGTGGGCTGAAAATCAAACATGAGAAAACAATGCTCTATGTGACAGAGAACCAGAGAGTAATAGGGGCAGCTAGACCAGTATTTGTGGATAGGTTGGAAAGACAGGCTTTAGTAGGTAAAGGAATACAATTAGAGATCAAGTCCAGGAGAGAGAAGGTTCGGAACCACTTAGGTAAATAGCATGTTGCTCCCCGCCCTCCAATTTACAACGAAGGGTCTTGGTGAGACCCAGAAATGCACAGTGTACCCTGGGGAAGTGAAAGAGGAGGGAGAGTCTTCAAAAAGATGACAGAAGATATTGTTATAGTGTATCAGGATTTAAAACCCACGTTACTCGCACCACTCTGCTTAGATAGATTTTATTATTATTTTTGATAGATTTTATTCTGTCCCAGTTTATCTACCTGCATTAGATTTGGGGCACAGACAGCTATCCCCAAAACATCAGGATATAGCACAGTAATCATCTTTAATTTCCTGTTGTCTCAATCTGGAGCCCTATATGACTTATATTGTTTTATCATGAGTGATCTTAGTTAAATCTGGTTTGTTTGATAAATGTTTGTTTGTATGATATCGACAGATTTTATTCAAAACTGGTATGATTTGGTTTGTTTGATATGACAGATTCAAAACTGATTGATAGTATCAAGTCTGAGAATATAGGTAACTACATTGAAGATGACAAGACTCTACAATACACATTCTGATTTGATAACTGCCTGCTTTTGAAGTTTTATCCCCTATACAAAGTTGTGTTTTTATTAATACTGTTATGTACTAATATGTTCAATTATGCTATGTCTGATGATATAGCCAATTCTATTGAAGATAACAAGAGACAACACAGGAACTATGGTAGAACTCCTTGTACAATGGTCTTAGGTCTTTTTTGTTTCATGTGTTTATAGGAATATGTTTTGTTTTGTCTTGCTTTGTTTTGTTTCTCCCTCTAATTTAGAAAGGGTAGGAATACATGTTAAGACTCATGCATGTGTGAAATCTATAAACAGTTTATGAGAACTGATCTTATGACACATGATGAAATGAACAGATACTTTGAAGAGACACTAAAGTACCCAGTGCTGATCCTGGAGTGACATAATTTGACACCCAGCAACAGTATTATTCTTTGTTCAGAGTGATATTAGACTGCTTGAGTTTGTTCAATCTCAACATAATTGAAGATATGGATAACTGCATGTATGTTTAAGTGTATAGGATTGATAACCATATTTCTAAGTTTTTGTTGAATATTTGAACAGAACTGTTTGCAGTCTCTCTGTTTGAAGTCCCACTTTACATGTTCCACTTTTGTATCTGGAACAACTATTTGTAAAAGGACAATGTGTAAACATCAACTAGTGATTTCTTACTGTTTATTTTTTGTCTGGACGTATGTATTATTTCTACCCATTTTCTGTTTTGTTTAGTCTTCTTTTAAGTAAAATTAAAAAAAATAAATGTGCCTTCTTGTTTTCCTGTGGCTCCCACCTTTCTGTTCTGTGACGGGCTGTCCCTGCTTGTCCTGCGTTAGGAGGTAGGTACCCAGTGGCTTCCTCCCCTCCCCAAGCGGCTCATTCGTCTCTGGGTTTCTCTTCCCCATGTCGGTCTGTGTGAAGCTCCGATCTGTGGCTGCCATTCATCTGATTCATTTGGCTTGACTTGGCGGGGGAATGGTGTTGTGCACAGTGTGGTGTATGTGACACCTACCCCTAGTGATAGGGTCAAGACAGCTAGGAGCAGAAGTACATGGGGACGCTGGGAACAAACTAGACCCCCCCCCATCTTTAGGGTCTTGCAGCAGCAACAGCCTGTCCCTGTAGAGTCACAAGTGCCCCATAGTAATCGAGCAATGCATGTTTGCACCTGCTAGAGGGATTCTGGGGACATCTCAAAGGCTTCCTTATCAGGAACAAAGAAATCTAATGGAGTTTGTACTCTATGAACAAATTTAGGCTTTTTAGGGCTTGACACTGGGGGATGGATTTTTATCTTCCCTTGGCAGTAAAGCCCATGAGATGACAGCATTGTTTTCCAGCTGCTTCTCAGGACAGAGTATTTCTGTGTAGCATGTAAGATCCGAGGGCTGGAGTTCTGGAGACTTTTAAATGAATTTTTATTGAGGGAAGATTAAAGACATGGCTTGATGACAACTGTACAGCCATGGGCTGCCTTGGCTGATGGGTGCTGGGGTGCATCCTGTGGGCCCACTGTTCCCACTGAGGCCTTCAACCTGCAGCATTGCTCTTTGACTTTTCTCTGGCTGTGATGAGATTTAGAAGAGTTCTGAATCTTTTCCTAAAAGCCAAGTATTGTAGCCTTGGAGTTCGATGCCTGAGTGACCTGAGATACACAGCAGACTTTTCACATCACATTGTGCTCGTGGTGCTAGAATAGGGGCAGGAGGAAGACTACGTCTAAAGATGCAGCCACAGTGCTTGGCCTGAGCAAGGAGGCCCTTCACTGGGTCAGGCAACTCCCTTCCAGGCCCTGTGCTGCCTGAGTGTGTCCCCTGCAGGGAGGTGAGGTTGCCAGCCTTCGTGGCAGCTCAGGTGGCCTCTGGTGCTCTGGCGATATAAACAAGTGGATGAAATGAAGGCGTGAGAGAGGCTGGTGTTTTCTGACGTGTTTCCTGATTGAGGAGATAAGGCCACCAAAACGAGAATGTAGAACACTTAAGGGAATTGTGAATTTGGCCAGATACAGCCAGACATAGCTCAGTGGGCAGCTGAGGGGGGCACAGGGGAGTCTGGGAAAGTGCCATCCTGTGATGTTGGCACCTGTAGCCTCTCTTGCCCCTGTAGCTTCCTCATCCACTCTCAGACATGAAGTGTGACTCAAGTCACCCTTGTAGGGTGACCCTGCACAGACTAGGCAAACAGGGTCCCTCTCAGCACAGGGCATGACATAGTCAGGATGCAGGCACCAACTGAAGCTGTGCAGCGTGGGTGAGACTCAGGCACATTCTCAGGAAACAGGAAACTGCTTGTATGGACTGTTCCCAGCCCACAGAAGCAGCAGTTCTGTTTCTGTGGAATACATGTGTGAGATCAGCTTTTGGCCACATCCATTGCTACTTCAAGCCTCCAGCAAAGTGCTTATCTCCCTGACAAGTAGATTTTTTAATGACTGAACATATATTCAGGTGGGAATAGTCTATTGTCCTTTTCTTGTAGCACTATGTGCCGCACTTAGGGTTTTCTGTGAACAGTGGAGAACTCCAATTCTAAAGTGGGATGGGCCCACGTCCACATACAACAGAGGGATTGATGGCCCCACCACTGAGACTGTCAGCTGGACAAGGACAAGGGCAGTAGATAATACAATCTCCCCTTTGGGGAGCTTTGTTTGCACCTTTGTGATGCCCATGCATTAACACCTGGGCCCTCTTTAGCTTCATACATGGGCTGTTTGATTGGTGACCCCTGGCCAGACTTGCTGCCCCGCCCTGTCTGTGCTGGTGCACTCAGTTTGCACCCCTTGGAGGTTCTCTGTGTTCTTGTGCAAAAGCAAGTCCAGCAATGAAAACCTCAGACTCAGTGCAGAAATACGTCTTCCCATGAGCTGCCTTCAGGTGGAGACTTTGCAGCCCTGGGGCCCTTTGCCTCTGGGTAACTGACCTTAGTGCGTAGCTTTATGTCACACCAGACTGCAGAGTCCCCAAGGCTAGAACTCTCCATCATGCCTTAGACTTATTTATTTCCAAACTTTCATGCTGCTACTTTACTGATCCCTCTCCCAGTCCTGAAGCCTTGACATGTGTGACTGGTGTATATGCAACTTGGCTCCCAGCTGCCTGGACCTGGACCAACCACAATGCCTTCCCACTGTGGGTCACCCTCGGGCCAGCTCTGCCAGCGACTGCAGCAGTGCTGGCTCAGCAGTGCATACAGGGAGGAACAGGTTTCTCTCCTCCCTTCTATCTAACCCAGGTATGGCCCTGGGGTTGTGGAGCTCTCTGTTTTAGTGTTGACGTGAACATGAAGTCCCCTAGTGGTGAATCTTTCACGGCCATACAGAAGGCCTTGGAGCTCAAAATCTTAAATGACTTGCCCTATCAAGAGCATTCCATGAAATCATTTAACACCAGTTTTTTTTGTGACAGTATTAACCCTGAGCGTGTCGGCCATCGTGCTGCATACCTGGCTTCCACCAGGCTGCCTAGAAGTGGGGACCCCACCACACTCCACTTCAGGGGTAGTCATGCTCTTCACCTCCCCGCCTGAGGGTCTGCACTCCGTCCTGAGTCATCAGTCCCAACTCTGGCCAAAGTAAGGTTTCTTCCAGAGACAAAGGGCAGCAGGCAGTTCTGAGGAGGAAAACTGGGAGGGAGATGGCCTCTCCACAGCACCCCTAGCTGTCTCACTGGGCCCTGGTTATACTTTGAGGTTTATTTGGAATCACCCTAGATCTACACCCAAAGCCCCCACATCTCTGGGGTCCTGAAACATTTTCATGTAGTTTAATGTGGCACCAAATGGACTCAAAGATGTTTATAGGTGAAGCAGCATTTAATGCTTCACACAAAGCAGGGCCTATTTTGAAGGTTTCAAATGCACACATCTAGGCAGATGTGCTTTGCTGAGCAGTTAGGTCTATTATAGACCAGAATCCACAAGTTGTGATTTCTCATTTTCTTATTTTTCTTTCCCTCAAAAACATTTCTATTACCTAAACATAGATAATATACAAATAATGTACACATATTGATTGGTGGGGTGTTTTGTTATTCAATATATATACCGCTGACAACTTGTATGAATTTTCTATTGATATCAAAATATCTACTGATATTTCATTGCAAAATGAACAGTACAACTGACAGGTGTGTGCTGCTAAAACTTGCAATACTGTCCTCACTAAATCTCATGTTGTCAAAACAAGGTTGTCCAAGACATGCTTCTTTAAAATAGACACGTGTTGGGTCCAGCAGACCACTGCTGGTTCTCCCTGACCCACCTCTGAGGTCTGAGGCACCTCCTGAGACGCCAGCCAGAGCTGTGGAGGTTTGAGGAAAGTGAACCCAAAGTCAGAGAAGACATGGCTGGAAGCAAATGGGGAAAACAAGTAACAAATGGCACAAAGTGTTTAATTTCCTGCCATTCACGTGCTCTACAGATTGTACACACTGTGTATTTACAGGGGCAAGTGCTTTTATAATATTTCATAAAACAAAGATCAAACTTTACACATCTCTGAATGCAAACTGTCTAAGCCATACAATTTATTCAGATAGAAACAGTTTCCATCTGTATTAAATGCAGTTTTCCCCACTCCATCTCCTGATGCAGGGCCAGTGAGTTTTGAGTGTGTCACAGTTTGATAGCATATCCATATTAAAAATAAAACCACAGCATGATGTTGTCTATTACTAGAACCTTTAAGGCACCCAAGTTGACAACTCAGACTCTAATGTCACACAAGTGACAAGACACAGTATAAAAAAGTATTACATAATAAAAATATACTGTAAGCTTTATAGGTGTTTGGACTATACATTCATAATGTGAATACTCATTATAAATGGTAAATTGATTGGAAAAGTCCCACAAAATTAATAAAAAGAACTTGTCTATAAAATACATTTTCAAACCTTCAACACAACTAATATAGGAAGCAAATTAGTATCTACAATCAGAAATCACAGAAAACAGACTTCCCTTAAAGTCTAGTTGAGAGCTTGTAAACTTTTAAATAAGTCTTTAAGTTAAATATGTGCACTGTCAGTTTGCACTTTTAAACAATTTCATGGTTTCCCAGTTGGTCTTCCACCAGATTCTAACTTGGAGGAACATTACATGAAATATGACTAACCAATCAGAATCCAGAATCAAGCAGCATTTCAGATGTTCTATTCCAGATGTTATTTTCAATGTGATTTATATACACTGTATCTTACATAGTCTGCAGTTGTAGAAAGTGTTTATTCTTTTAGAATAAGGGTAATTAAGGCAACGTTAAAAATGAAAAAACCCCTCCCCTCCAAATAGATGATAAAAACTGCACAATGCTTAGAGAGGAAGTACCATGCAGACTTGCACAAATTTTTCTTTAATATTTAGGCTGAGGTGGCATGGCCTCTTTGGAGCATGTTGAATCTGAAAGACGAGGCACAAGCATTAGTTGAAGGCAGAGACCCCAGGAATCCAGGCCCCCCTTTCTGTCCCACCCTGCGGCAGGTTCCCTTGGTCTTTGGGAAGCTCTTTTCCCTTGAAGTCATCACTGCCTTCCTGAATGGCAGTAGAGAAACCCAGGGATGCCAGGCAGCTGCAGAGGAACCGCTGGCGTCTGGCTAGGGAGGCACCATCTGCTGGGCCCTGCTGCACCCGCCCAGCCTGAACCCCAACTGTGGCTTCTAATCCTCAGGAAGAGCTTAGTTCCTCAGAGTTAGTGCTTTCCCTTGAGGACACACAGATAAAGCATGCCAATTACTGCATACTGATCTTGTATAGATAATTCCTCTTGAAGTCTATTTATCTTTGTTTTTTTAAGATAGGGTTTGCTACGTGGTTCAGACTGGCCTTGGTCTCACTTTGTAGCCCAGGCTGGTCTTGAATTTGGAATGATCCTCCTACCTCAGGTTCCCACAGGGACTACAGGAGTGTGCCACCAGGCCCAGCTTGAAATTCATTTAAAATCCCCCTTGCTGATCGGGTATGAGACACAAGGGCAGTTTCCTGTCGTGGGTTAAATGGCTCACTACCCTTTTTACCTCCAGAGCCACAGAATACAAGTGATTCAGACCCAGCCTCGACACCACGAAGGCTCTGCTCTAAGTCACCCAGACCTCATCCCAACAGAGCGGCCGTGTCAGGTGAGGGCTGTGACCCAGCCTCAGTGTGACCTCTAGGCCTAGGCGCTGAGCTCCTGGGATGGGCTCTGCTGTCTGGGTAGGGGACACACATGGGCTTCTCATCCCAGATGCTTATCCGATAACTCTGATTCAGATGGGGCCCTGCTGGCTTCTTCCAGTGAGGGAGGAGGGAGCAACCAGCCCTGTCTTCCCTTGCCGAGGCTGCCCTAGTCCTGGAAAGCTGACTGGGAAAAGAGGTCTCCACGCTCTCCGGTGCTGGTTTGGAGTTCAGTGCCCCCCACTCCTGCTGCTGTTTCCACAGCTCAACCCCAGGGAATTAGGTTTTCCTCAGGATGTCAGTGCCTTCTCTGTCCCCCTCTGTGTTTCTACAAAGAAGAAAATGGACACACAAGAAAGTACTTACTTTCATTCGTAAATTTTTTGTTTTGAGGCTAAGTTTTCCATCACCTAGAAGACAAAGGTTAGGAAACCTTTTAGTGACTTTGTACAATTTGTGGTATCTGTGCATTATGTGGTTACAGTTAGACTTAGTTTTCTTGTAACTTAACACTGGCTGCCTGTGATCAGCCCCACATCAGGCTGAGCGAGTGCAGGCTGGCACACTGCCCCTCCTGCAAGGTCCTCCTGAGAGGAAAGTGAGTTCCCATGAAGATGAGGGCCTCTGGTCCCAAGGAAGATGCCCCAGAGGCTGGGGCTAGGGGACAGGCCACACCTGCCCCATCACACTGCTGAGTTCTCACAGGAGGATGGAATGGACTTCAGGCCAGGGCCAAAGAGATTAACTGGATTTGAATGGAGCCAGAGGTCAGGGGTTTGCAGGAGAAAGGTGAGTGGTCAAAGGTCAGGACACAGGAGCACAAGTGCACAGAAGATGGCAGAGTGCTGGCCTCAGCCAGGCCCCCTCTCAGGAGGCCCGGAGTCCAAGGGCCCTTGGTCTGTGCTCCTGGCAGAAGTGCTGGCTGCAAACCAGTCATCAGTGGTCCTGCACTGGGGACAGAATGGGCCACCACTCAGACATGACCTGACTGCAGCATCTGCAGTGGCTGAGTGGACCCGGCCCTGAATGCCATGCCAACACTATGGAGGCTGCTGTCCCCAGATGGGTGGGCTCTGGCTTGACCTGCCCAGCCAGGATGAGGGATTCTGACAATGCTGGGACCCTGCCGAACACACAGACCAGATCTGTGTCACTACCCAATCCTTAGGTAGCACACTGATGTGCATGGCCTTGACTCAAGAAAGTGCCCCTCAGTGTCTAGGGCAGGGCCTGGCTAAGTTTCTTCCCTGTGAAGGGCCAGGTGACACACACTGAGTGTGGTGGGCTGTGAGGTCTCAGCGGTGACTACTCACCTCTGTCAGGAGCACCAACCTCACACAGACCACTGCACGCTTCAGCCAAAGTCTACAGACACTGACATTTGGATTTCACACATCGTTCAGGGGAAGCAAAGTGCTACTGCTCTTTGGAAGTTTTGAAAACACGAAAGCCATTCTTACTCACAGGTGATGAGCGACAGGCACAGGCCCGGCTTTGGCCTTCAAGACGCAGCTTGCCAACCTGTGCCCGGCCCCAACTCCCATCACTTTCACTCTTAACAAGCTTCTCAGGCCTCCTCCTCAGGGAACCAGTCACAAAGGGGGAGGGGCTGCCCCACTGCAATCAGACCACAAAGAGCAGTCTACACACAGAAATCCGAGATGCCCGGGAGCCCAGAGTGGGATAGCAGGCCAGGAGCCTCAAAGGCATCCCTGGCAGAGGAGACCACTAAGATTTCTAATGGCCCAGGTCATCAAATTATGAACTGGGATACACTCTGGATGCTTTAAGGAATCAGCAGAGTAAAGCAAACACTGCAAAAGCATAGCTTCCAAAAATGCATGAAAAACAAAAGTTCTGTCTTGGGAGCACATACTCAGACACCCAGAGTGCCTAAATTCCAGGGTCATAAATTCCACTTCCACGTAACCATTCTAGCTTTGATGCTAGGGATCAGTGTCAGGCACCCAAATTACACAGAGACAATGAGTCACTAGGGGCCTGGGTGTCAAGGTGGACGAGGCAGGAGCCCTGTATCACTCACGCACTTTCAGGCCACCTCAGGTTCCATCTCTGTGTGTCAGTCACCACTTCAAAAACCTTGGCAGAGTTTTTCTCAGGAGCTCCAAGAATCTCCTCTTACCCTGGCTGTATGCCAATACGTGGCTCTTCTTTGGGAAAGATCCAGTGTCCTCCATGGGCAGGCCGTCGGTGAGCAGGTAGCTGCCCTCGAGTCTCTTGAAATAGCTGATGTTCCCATGGCTGGAGGCCTTCAGCAGGTGCAGTCCTGGTTCTTTTTTAGAGTGTTTTGAGTTCCTTGAGTGCCTTTCCTTTTTCTTTTTATTCTCTTTGTGTCTGTAGAGGTCAGTGTCAGAGTATACATCTAGAACATCTGGATCCAGATGATGCCTGCAGAAGCAGCAGCCAGAAATTAGCAACCCAAATACCAGCACCATCTCAGACAGCACCTGGCACTGTCATGACTTACTGAGGCCGCTCCATGTTTGGGCTCAGGTAAATGCTTATCTAGTTAAAAATGTGTTCTCTACTTTCCCCTGTAGTGATTTTTAAAGCCCAAGGCCAGAAATTCAGCAACTTCAGCTCCGCTCCTGGCACATACCCTTCCGTGGTGCTGGGGCTGTCAGCCGGGACATGACCTGCAGGACTTAAGTGACATCTCCTGGAATCAGTGGCCAAAAGAAGGAAAGAAGGATATTCTGCCCTGTGCCTCAGCCATAGAGGAGGGAGAGGCTTGTGAGCTGATTCCTTTTCCTAACTATTGCCTATTTACATATGGCTGTTGGCAATCTTTTGCTAGGATTAATTTTAAAAGAAGTCAAGAAGAATACATGGGATTCCATTCATGCTCACTCTTCTTGTTTTGAACCAGTCAGTTTAAGGCAGTTGCTGGGGCTGGGCGTGTGGCTCACTGGTCAGAGCACTTGCCTCATGAGCACAAGGCTGTGGATTTCATCCCCAGCACCACACACCACACACACATCACACACCATACACACCACACCATACACACCACACACACAACCAGACACCACACACACATCACACATATACCACACACCACACACATCACACACCATACACACCACACCACACACCACACACACCACACACACACACCACACACCACACACCACACCACATACACATCATACCACCCACCAACTACCTAGTTAGCATTTTAAAAGTACAAAGACATTTAGGTTTCAGATTGAGAATTAGAGATAAAAGCCAAGAAAATAATAATGCCCTCAGACCTCCACTCTAGGCAGGCAGCCAAATATCAGCAGAACTATGGCCCCCCATTTTCTGCTGACCGGGTAGTCACTAAGTTTGAAAAAAAATAGCAGATATAAAAATGTAACTACACCTGACCACCAATCTTGAAGTGAGAGATCCCCAAGTTCCCTCTACAGAGCTCACATTTACTCCCAGGAGAGGTATAAAGCATTACCTGAGAGTGGCAAAGTGAGACATTTTATGACACATGAAGTAAGACAGAGCTTGAAAGCTGCACCATTTTAGAAATGTGCGGAAACTGAAGTCTCAAAACCCACAGAGGAGGAATTCAGACTCCGCTGGGAGAGCCCGCCCTCACCTGTGGTCACGCTCCTGGCGTTGGTCTTTAGATTTCTTCTTCTTTTTTGACCTTTTGTGCTTCTTCGCCTTAGGCTCCTCCAGGTCTCTCAGCAGGCTCCTGTGGGCTTTCTTTTCCTTATGACTGTCATTACTTTTTGCGCTCTCATATCTACGTTTGTGTGACTTCATGCTTTTGTGTTCATAAAACCGATCAGACAGGCCACAGCCACTGTCCTCAGCTCCAAAGGCAGCTTTTTCCTGGGAGTGGCCCTCGGGGTGCAGAGGGAAAGGGGGTGCGGCACCTGTGCAAGGGCTGTGGAAGTGGGTCCGCTCCCTCACCCGGGCAGGAGGCTCCCTGCCTTTCCTGGCCCAGGAGGAGTCCTTGTGTGGCTGCTTTACACTGGGCTTCCTGCCTGCATATGGGGTGTACCTGTCGGGGTAATACCTATACCGGTCCCACCGCATCTTCTTGGGGTCACCTGTCTTTTGGAGCCAGGTGTGGTCACTGCCTGAGCGGTGATATCGGCTCCTGTCCCGCTGCTCGGCCCCTCTCCTGGTTCGGGAGTGGTGGCAGCTGAACCTTCCCAGACCGCAGCGCTTGCTGGGACTGACTGACTCCCCACAGCACAGAGGGTGCCGACTCCTGCTGCGGGGCTGCACAGCAGTGTGGCACTCCTGTTTGCTGTTTTTCCTGGTGTAGGAGTGCCGCTTTCTGTGCCAATGACCCCCAGTCCTCCTCTGACTCCTACTCCTGCTCCGATTTCTCTTCATGTGTTCCCCATCAGAGGAGCAGTCTCGATGGTTACAGTAACGTCCTCTGTCAGTTTTCTTGAGGCTGCTGATTTTCCTGTTAAATGCAGGACGATCTGGAGCCTTCTGGCCGGCTTTGTCTTTGTCACATCTCTCCCCATGACTGTGCCTAGGGCCATCAGGATGGGGGCCTGGGGTCCCGTGTGGCTGAGCAGAGGGCAGTGCATCTGCAGATTTGCCTGTGCTCCAGGACGGGGCCTCTATGTCACCACACTGCTCTCCGCTGAGGGAAACGGAGAGCTCGGGCTCATGCCCACCTTCTGGTTGTGTGGAGGAAGCTGGGCTCAGCTGCTCCACTGTGTCTCCTGGACTAGGGTCCTGCAGGTTCGAAGGTAGCAACACTTTGTACTCCTGGATGGTTTCGCTGCAGTCCTGTGTTCCCTTCACCGCGTCACAGGGTTCAGGAAGCGGATCTTGCCCCGTGCTGGTCTTGTTTGTGTGACAAAGGTTGTTCACCATGGGCAAAGACTCATCCAGTTTGTCTGAGCTGTCTTCTGGGGTAACCTCTTTGGTAGGTGTGAGGCTGCTACCAGCGGGCAGCAAAGCCTTCTGAAATTTGCTGCACAGACTCATCCTGTCCAGTTTCTTGGGGGAACCAGCAGTGGGGCTGCCAGCCTCAAGCACCACAGTGAGGTCCCCTGATGGACTCTGCCCTGTTCCAGGTGGACTGCATCCCCGCCGAAAGAAAGAGACAAGCCAATAGTTAGCATGACTGCTTATACAGGTTTTGCCATGGCTTACATTTACTAAATATTTTATCACTTTATATATAGCTGGCTACAAGCCACTATCAGGCTATCATCTCTAGATACCAAATTTTCTCATTAAATAAGAAGAAAATTATATCAATCCTATTTTCCACCAATAATAATTCTGCACCTCTAGACGTTTCCTATTTCCAGACACATTTCTAATTCTTAAAAATTAAGTCTAAACAAAAAGCCGAATCACGGACTGCCGACTTTTCTGGCTCCCTTCTTCCTCTTGGAGCCTCAGAAGCACAGCAGCTATTTCCAGACAGAGCCAACAGCTCCTTGAATCGTGGAAAACAGGGACTCACTGAGGCTCTGGGGAAACCTTCTGCAGGAACTGCAGGCTGCCGTTGGCACCTGGGAAGCTTCTGACACACTCTCAAGGTTAGCTGCCAGCTGCCAGGAAACAATCAATCACCCGCCTGGATCTCGGCTCTTCAGTGAGGAGATAACCTGTCCCCAGTCCCCACGGGGAAGTTCGTTGTCCTGAGAGTAGAAGCGGGGTTCTTGGGGCCACACGCAAAGGAAGGCGTGCTTGGCTGCAGTACCTACAGGGCCTCATTTACACAAATGTGTAATTGTTCTCTTGCACACTGAATTTGGGGACCAGGGTGGGTTAGGAAAGAAACCAGGGAAGATCACTGTGAAATGACAGCGCAGCTCCGCTGCTCTATCTTAAGGTCAAGTGGGAGTGAGCGTTCTCTGCCTCTTCACCCTTAACAGTTCTGCACCCTGACTCAGGGTCTCAGGGGCCATCTGGGCTGCGCAGTGCCAGGAGGAGGCTCCTCCCCTGCACGTCCTCACACCCATGGGTGAAAATCCCAGTCGTGTTACTGCCACAGTTTTCACGGACACTACACTCCCCAGGTATCCAACAACCGTGTAAACTGAGGAATGGTCACACCGTGATGCGGCTGGAACTTCACCAAAAGTCAGTCACCACCGCAGCCCGACAGTGCAGATGGCAAATCTGGAGGCAGCGTTTATGCTGAACGGTCACACGGTGAACCTGCGGGCGGGCGGCTGCCACCTGATGCAGAGTCCTGCAGCAGTGGTTTCATCTGCAGTTTGCACACGAAGCAACCACGCCTGCATTTCAAACTCCTTTCCTCTTATTCCTGAGTTACGTTACAGGTAGGTGAATATATTGATTTTTGCTAAAATTGAATATGGGGATAAATTATATTTTCTGTGATTTAACTTCAAATTTCTAGAGAGGCCCTTACAAAATACATGCTTCATGACAGCGCTGGGACCCCTCTTTCTCTAAACTCAGTTTGCCCTTCACATACTCATTCATCATTAAAAAGATGAAATGGGAAAGCACGTGGGTCGGATTCAGAGGTGTGCAAGGGCACTGCTGGCCAGGGCAGGCGACACAGAGGAAAACGACAAGCAGTCACAGACAGCTTTCTCAGTCTCCTCAAAGGCAAACTGACATACCCTATAGGTTATTTTTCAGATAGATAGATAGATAGATGGATAGATAGATAGATAGACAGACAGACAAACAGGCTGGGCTTGGAGAACAGCCAGCTTATGATTCCGATGGTGGTTTTTTGTTTCTCAGGGTGTTCTGGAATCTCAGGGGCTGTTAACTGACCAGTTTTGGACAGAAGTAGTAATATTAACAGGACCACACCTTTTGACTCTGGGACTTCCACTGGAACTTGGTGAAGAACTCCTTGAAGGGTCTTTCTGTGGCCTGGTCCCTTTGGAGCCGGGTGAATTCTGTAATGAAAGCCACAGCCAGGTCAGCACTGCAGAATCAGGGCCTGTTCTGGCCCACAGCCTTCTCCTTTGCTCTTGTGCCTGACAAGTTACACAAATCTCGAATACAGCCCCTCTCTTTCACCTGCTCTGCCCATGTGCACCTTTCTCAGGCCCTAATTTTCTGGTTAATCCACACATGGGACACACAGTGTCTGTCAGAACACAGCCCTCCTGACATGAGTTCACATACGCTCTTCTTGGCTGGCTTTCCCAGAGGCCACCACTATACAGACAGAAGTAAACCCAGCTTTGTGGCCTTCAAGCAAGGGAGAAAGCACACGGGCAGGAGGAAAGGGCGCTTCAGGACTGCATGTGAGGTCACGGCTGCCGTCGCCCAGGGATGCCTCAGCATTGTACTCGTGCAGCTCTGTTGCTCCAAGTTCCATGACTACCACTGAAGCCCTGTGACAACACAGGCGACAGCTGGTTTGCAGACAAATGGCGTTTGGCTTTGTCAGTGTTTTCTTAAGTATTTGATGTTGTCTTCAAACAAACAAAACAACTCTTAAAAAGTCAGTTACACCTGCCTCTTTCTTGAGGCACATACTTTCTGGTTTTCCAGTCCCCCGTGTCACTCTGAAGCAGAGCCCCATTCAGAAGCTGGCTAGCAGACCAATTTACAAAGCATTTAACTGAAACAGAGCCTAATGTCTACCAAAACAAGCATTCGACTAGATAATCTGATAAGCCAAACTCAAACTCAAACTCAAACTCACTGTGTTTTTAAAATTGTTTTTTGAAACAGGACTTCATTATGTAGGCCAGGCTGGCTATAAACTCACTACATAGTCCAGCATGGACTGCAAAACCCGAGACTCTGTAAAACCTGAGAGCAGCAATGACTTAGTTCAGTTCAAGCTACACATGGTCTGGACATGGAGTCTTGGGGACTCTGGAGGGCGGGCCCTACCCTGCAGACCGCATCAGGCCTCTTGAGCACACACACACAGGGGCACTATCCCTTGGGGACAGCAGATGGAGAAACAGCACAGTTCTAAGACAGCCATGTGGACATAAAGTGTCCTGTAACAGGGTCACTTTCCTGATGTCTAACATGGATTAAAACCTATCTGACCCCTGAGTAGGGACCTAGTCCACAGTGGGTGTCACCTTTAATACACTCACACCTGCTGTTCCTGTTTACTTCTATGCTGAGATTCTCATACATTTTAAATTTTTAAACAAAGGACCTGAATGAACTTTTTGACAAATCCAGGTTTAGACAGGACATGACAATCACTGGAATGTTAATGAGGGTTTGAGGACAAAATCTAGAATGAGGTAAAATCAGAGGCCACCTCTGAGGTGTTACCTTCACTGTGTGAGGGGGAAGCTGTGGTTCAGGAAGCCCTGCTGCAGCCTGCTTGTTAGCGATGCCCCGAGGCCTGGTGACCCGGTGGAGAGAGGACTGACCACGGCGGTGGGTGGGATGCTTAGCAAATTCACTCCCAGTTTTCATATCATTGGCCCTAGGGACAAAGAATGAGAGGGCTTAGGGTGATGGAGGGCATCTTAGTAGAGACAGTTTTACAGACTCAGACCCTCTGGAAGTCACTGATTCTAAGTCACACTGCACAGAGCCTTAGGCTGCACTAGCTGCTTTAGAGGTGTAGGTCAGTGTGGGGTGCTCAGCTCAGGACACAATGGCAGCTGAGTAAAGGAAATAATATTTTTAAATTCTATTCTGATGATGCAGCTATCAGGATATTTTTTTGTTTGTGTTTATAAATTAAAAATATATACCATTGTAGAAAACTTATAGTGTCCAAAAAAAAAAGAAAAAAAATGTTGCTCCCAATAGTTCCCCTTTGATTAGATAGATCATCTCCCCGTTTTCACCCAACACTAATGTTTAATACTTCAAGCTGCTTTCCCTGCACATACAGTCACCACTTTCCCAAGGCATTAAAAAAGATTTTATAACAATCGCTCCCAGCAGGTGATGGGCAACATAGCAACACTCTGTCTCAAATAAGAAAGAAAACAAAAAAATCTTAACAACTGCATAAAATTCAATGCATCATTATTGAGCATTCAGTGTATTCTTAACTTGAAGCTACCATATTTAAAAGGGCCACCTTGGAGGCTGCAGTGTGGCTCAGTGGTAGCGTCTGCCTAGCTTACTTGTGGCTCTGGGTTTTATTCCTAGCATGAAAAGGGGGGGGGGGGCAGGGGACACTGTGGAATACACAGCAGATTTTTTTTCCAAAAGTAGAATTTGTGAGTCAGTTTACAACTGCAGCAGGATCAACCCAACTGCAGGCCCCAGCCTTGGCCGAGGTCTAACCAGCACTGTGCTCAGCACTGGGGAGGTGCTGGGTGGGACCATGCAGGGTGCTCAGAGCTCCCTTCCCCAGCCCTCTGCCCACGGCCTCCACTTCCCCAGGTCCACTCCGTTTGCTGCCAGCAGCATAAGCCACCTCACCCCCTCAGTGGTCAACTTTCCCTGTCTCCGCCTCTGGCACTGAGTGGACGCTAACACCAGCTCACAATCCATGCTCAGAAGCGGCCTCCTGACTCTCCATGTACATGGCAGGGAAAACCTTAACCTGCAGTTTTCAAAAAGTAACTCAAGGGCTCAGTGGCATAATTGCCTGCCTGGCAAGTGCAAGTTTCTGAGTTCAATTCTCAGTGCCACCAAAAAAACAAAAACAAAAGCCCTTAAAACTGAATTGAATGTGGGAGAGATGAAAAGAAATAACATTGCAGAACATTTGGTAGCTTTTTTCATGACAGTACCTTATATAAAATAATACGTAGGCTTGCTGGTTTAGCACAGATCGAGTATCCCTGGGAGATACCTTGGAATCATTCATTTGGTACCACAGGCCATTGCTAGCCTGCAAAAGACAGCCAGTAAGAAACAAAGATCAGATTTTGTTAGTTAACAAGGACAGAATAAAAAGAATAAGAAAAAGAAGCATTCACACTTTAATTGTGAACTCCCACCTTCCCCCCCCCAAAGAATACTAGTGCATGCTGTCTTACAGAGTCAATGTAAAAGCAACGAGCAAAATCCACACGGCTTACTTTTACATGACATAAGTAATGGCCCACATGGCAGTTGTATCCCGCATGGACCAGCACTGCATACAAAGTGTAAACAATGGGTTCTCCATTCGGCTGTGACGT